CGCAATTCCGAGGAAGAGCTCGCCGGTGGCCACGGCCAACGACTTCTTCCCCGAAGGCGGCGGCGGTGGTGGCGAGGCGCTGTGGTTTCGGGGCGACGTGGCTTTGATAGAGAAGCTGACCCTGCGGGCTGTAACAGTAATGGCGGCGGTGGCGGGGAAGGGGAAGAGGGAGGAGGAGGCGACGGCCATGGCTGGTTTGGGGGGAGAAAACGAAAATGGTGGCCCGATTTGTTGCAGGGCTCCTCAGAAAGCATCGAAAATTACTTTTGCTTCATTTAATCTGTTTTGTTGGCAGAATTTGGCACTCGTTGCTTTCGTGTGTTCCCCATTTTTTGCCCGTTTTATATTTGTTTGTTTGGAATTTGTAGACTTGTAGTTATTGGGCCTGTCTTAAAAGGCCCAAAATAAAGAAACTGAACTGCTGTACCAACCTAGTGATGTGATAATGTTCCCACACCTGTTAATATATGTTTATCGCTTATGTGGCATGCACACATTGGTGATGTTAATATGTTCAAAAAAATACATCACCAATGTGTGCATGCCACATAAGCGGTGGGCATATTAACATGTCCACCGTAAATAGGTGAACATTACTCCCTAGTGATGCTGTGAAAGCCTTGATAAACAATTGTTGTCTATGTGAAATCCAAAAAATTACATTGTTGTTAAAAAATGAGTAATACAACACAGACGATAAATGGGCCCACAGACTGTGTCGATCCACAGACTGTGTCGATCCATGTTCGGCCTGAATGTCGATCCACCAACTGACGCCTAATGTCGATATCTCGGTCCAATGTTAATTATAAAAAAAAAAGGTGATCGCCCAATCAGTCTCATCGTCCAAAGTAGCATCAACAGGTGTCCTCATGCATGCGGATTTCCCGACACACGTCTGGCTTTCGCTCTCTTAGACCATCTCCAACCGAAAAATTCATTCTCAAACCCATTTTGCAGTAAGCATCACATCGAACAATAATTCATCTCCAACCATAAAACTCATTCTCAAATCTCAAAGAATATTCTCAAATCATTCTCTTTTATATCAACTATACAACTTTTTAATACTATCCACATATTTACAACTTTCCAATACTCTCCACATATTTCACAACTTTACAAATCAAGTTTAGTAGTTCAGGGTTGTATATATATATATATATATATATATAAATCAATCTTATTTTTGAAGTGGGTTGCGCGTGAGTTTTTGTTTAATAAAAAAAAACATGTTTTTCGAGCCGCTGGCCGAGATAGAGTGGGAGGATCTCGCAATATTGGAAGGGCTAGAGAGGAGTTTGATCCCATACGAGCAAAGGTATTTGGAGGAGCTATACGAGCGAAAAGATTTAGAGGAGAAGTACGAACGATAAGCTAAGATCAAGGTGGGGTTCGTCGACGAAGAGCCCATGTTTACGTTAGATTTACCGGGCTACTTTGAAGACGAGGTAGCCGAGTTTGTGGTCAAGCAAATCGAGTACGAGAGTCCACCATTGTTTGGCGACAAGTTCATAGACGAGGATGTTTCGAGAAATTACGAAGGATCGCATCTTTTTGATGTTGAAATCCACGAGACAGATGAATATGGGGCATATTCTTTATTATTGAACGTCGTGGAAGAAGAAGTTGGATTGGTACCAACAAATGTTGAATTGGTTTATGATGATTTGATTCGGCATTGTCGTGCAGACGAAGCGAGGTTCAAATGGATGGTAGTTCACTGAGACGAGGACCTTGAGAATGTGTGGTCACGGCGATTTAAAAGAATCAAGGATTCGGTTGTCGGTATATCAATATGGACGAGATGAGGCTTGGTCCCGCCGGATCGGAAGGATGATGATGGTGAAGCATGGTTGTGTAAGAGAAGTGTGGTTCCGTCGAATTGGAAATAAAAACGAGCAAGATTGAGGAGAACGTGTAAAATGTTCGCGACCAACTTTTTATTTTTATCCGTGAGGATAAGGATAATAATGAATGGGTCGGGAATGATGAGAATCGGAACCCTCAGAAAAGCCTCACAGGCCCCACGCCGCGAGGAGGCGACACGCCGAGCCGCGAGACATCCTGCAAGGACCACCACGCCGCGGAGCGGCTCGTGAGGGGCGCCACGGGCCAACAGAGACGAAGGAAAATCCAAGCGCCACGCCGCGCCGCCGCGCCCGCCTCTACGCTGTTGGACCTGCCGCGCCGTGACGAAAAAGAAACTGTACACGATAGCTGGCAGTTTGCAGTAGATTAAATAGGGTAGGGTAGTTCAATTGCAGTTAGTTTCTTTTCTTTTGAATTCTGTAACCGTGGCAGCATAAGGAGTATTATTAGGGATATTTTCTTATACTTTGGAATGGAGAAATAACAAATATATTTGTTATATAAGAAAAAGCTCGACTTCGAGCACAAATCCTCGTGTTAAACCGACGGCCGTTAGTGTGGGTTTTCACTTTTATTGTGATCGAACCAAGGCCGTTAACGCGAGTTCTTACACACAATCGAGTCCGATACACGACCTTTATCATGACATAAGACAATCATTATATTTTAGTTTTAGTTGTATATGAATTTTGTATTAAATAAATATGTTATGGGACCATGCAAATAAGCACCCATTTTATTCTCAGTTGATCTTAGTGTTGATCTCTCATTTTCTCACGATCTCTTATTACAATCAAATTACTTGTTACGGAACAATTTCGTTGAGATTTGTAACCGTTGGATCAACTATATCTAATGGTCAGATGATGATTTTCTAACTTGACCGACTTAAACAACAAAAATTTGTGATTTTCTAACTTGCACAATCTTCAACCGGATAACCGAATTGCAACCGTGTGTGTTGGTTCTTTGGCGGTTTCACCAAGGAAAGGAGACAATACCGAACCGGTACCAACTACCAATACCATATAGTTACTACATTTTTTCCACGTTATTCATTGTTATTTTTTTTTTCAACCCTAAATTTTGCAAACATTTGATTTTGATTAGTTAAAAAATAATAAATAATAATAATAATAATAATAA